TCTCCTCTTCCAGTAGAGAGCTTGGGGACCAGAAGTCATGCGATCCTCTTTAAAATGGCCAAGACCATCCCTCATCCTCTATTTCAGTTTAAACGAATCCCGTGACACTGTCCACCTTCCCTGTCTAACCAGGGCACCTCCTTGTTGCTCTCTTCTCTTCTTACCACTTTCTGAAATGTGTGGCCCTAAGAGGTGAGTTGCGGCCACCCCAGTGCTGAGCGAATTTGGAGATGAGCTCTGGCTGTGCCCTGCCCCTGCTGTGCTGAGGAAGCAGCCAGGGGCAGCTCTTTGCGTGTCCCCATGCCTCCTCTTGTCCCTCCACCTCGCCAGCTGCCTGCCCTCTGTAATGACAGTCCCTCTGCTTTAGCTGCATTCACAGCCCCTGGGGAGATGTTTTTTAGATACTAATTCCCTCATTGTCTTAGGAGACGCATGCAGGGCTGTGCTGGAAACATCTGATAATGGAAGGCTAGTGTTATGTTGGCTCATCACTGGCTTTCTGCTACCTCTCCTGCTCCATGTGAGTTTGTTAATTGCCAGTGGTTCAGGAGGGAAAGTGCTGGAGCCTATTGGTTTAACAACACCTGCCTTCTCTACCTCTTCCTTACCCATTTGTTCTTTTTTCTATTCTCAACTGCATGCCTAACCTCTGCCACTGAATTCTAATTGTGTTGAGTACCTGGCCACAACCTCTTCTTTTGTTAACATGAAGACGAGCCAAAAAGACACTGCAATTTTGGCTATGTGCTCACCTTCCTAACAAATAGTTTTTTTTTTTTTTTTTCCTTTTTTGTTCTTCAAATTGTTGTTCATAAAGCTGGGTCTTCTGGGCTGCTGTGTTCCTTGCAGGAATTCTGAAAACTTCACTGACAAGAAGGCAAATTGTTTTCTTTCCTCACCCGGGCTTTTGAATTTCTCCTCTTTCTTTCCAAGATTAGAAAGTGGTCTGATTACAGATGACTTCTACCGCAGGAGAATTAAAACCAGAAGTAATTTCTTCACTCTCCCCTTAAATCAGTTCCTTATATTCAATTCCTTAAACATGCTTGAACACAAACTATCTATTTTCGCTGAGCTGCAATTTTGTGCAATTCATTGAAATATCCTCAATTCCAGTTAGAATAGGAACTACTACATCACTGTCCAGTAAGAAGTTCCATCCGGCCCTTGTCTAAATGGAGAACTGAAAGCCCGACCAATCATTTCTGCAGTAAGGAGGAAACATTTTCACCATTTCCATCAAAAATAATCTTTGCTGTTGTGATATCTCTCTGTTTCTAACAGATGACTGGCTTTAGCAGTAACCATACAAAATCCTATGCACAGAGATGATTGTGCTTCTACTTTTTGTTGTGCTTGTCTTGGTTTCTCTGGATTTCTGTGCTGTGGGATGTTCCTTTACCACCATCCTTACTGTTGCTACTCCTGCTTGTCCCTTGCCAAGCAGTAAGCATCAGGCTCCTGGTGTGGTGAAAGGCCAGGCCTGTGTGGGGCTTGCATGCAATGTGGTGATCTTTGGCGTGTAACATGGTGATATTACTAAAAGAAACAATTGTGGTCTCTTCTCCTCATCTGACACCTCCAGTTCAACCAGTGCTGGCCCTGAGGGATGTGCCCTTTGGGCAGGGAAAGGCGCTGTGGGGAGCGAGGGGCAGGAGGTGGAGGCTGAGGGTTGTGTGGCAGCCTGCTGGGGAACGCATGGGGCACTGTGGGCACGGCTGGAAAAAAAGAGGAGGGCAGGAAAAAAAAGGAGGAAATTGCAAGTTTTGCAGATCCTTCTGAGTGTCCAGCCACTGAGGCATTTGGAATTACTCTTGGAGATTGCAGATGTTGCCACTTTTCAGTCATGTTGCAATGGCCTTGAGGTTTCATCTGTGAGGCTGTGATGAGCTGGCATCAACGGGTGCAGGCAGAGCTTCTCCCTCCAGCTCCTGCTCTGTGTCTCCTCCCCGAGGCCCGTGTATTTGCTTTTTTTGGGGGCTAGACTGGTACAGGGAGCCTAACTGGGATAAAATTGTCCATTTTGTCAAAAAGCGGGCAAACAGGAACTGCAGCACCTTGGTCTCAAGAGGCTGCAGACCACAGCCCAAACTGAAACCCATGGGTGCAGAAGTGCATGTCCCCTGTTTGTCCCAGGCACAGGGAAGGTGACAGGCCAGGCTGTGGCCTGAGAATGCTACTGTGGTCCTGGAGCAGCGTGACAGAGCCTGGGCCCTACAGGCCGCCTGGTTCTCCATGTCTCTGCAAGCTTCTAGCATGAGAATGCAGTTTGTGACAGGAAAAGGGACAAATGTGAGACTCCCCGTGACTTCCAGGTCAACCCAACCTTGTCTCTATGTTATCTTTCCTTTCCAACCTCGTCTCTATGTTATCTTTCCTTTCCTAGATGTCCGACAAAGAGCCTCTGTTATCAGAGGTGAATGTACGTGCAATGCGCCATTTTGGAGCTAGCTCTGTAGCCCCGCTGTGACCTGTGGAGCAGGCTGAAAAGTGCTGCTTGTGGCAAAACTGTGGATAAGTTTGGATTTTTGACCTGGCAGTAGTGGTGGTAGCTGAATTTATGTGTGACATGGCACCTGGGCTGGATTCAGTGACCTTCAGCAGAGCAGCTCTACTGCCCCTGGGCACAGTGGTGATGCTGTGGCTGTGGCAAAGCAAATCCCAGCCTGGAGTGTGCTGGCTGCCTGCCTGGGATTCCCATCAGAGCTCCAGATGTGGAGCCCCATGTCCCAGCCTGGCTCTCATCATGGGGCTTTGGGCTTCAGTTCGTCCCCAACGAGCACCAAAACGCAATCCGAAAGCAGTGGTCCTGTGGCTGGCGCTTCCCCTTTTGCAGCTTCCTCGCCTTCTCCAGCTCAGCAAAAATCGGGTATCCTTACATAATTTCCTTGGTATGATGCACTCATCTTTTTTCCTTGAAACCGTGTACCCGCCCAGTCGCCAGAGGATAAAAGACGGCAGCGGCAGCAGGGACCAAGCATCCTGCAGAGGAGAGCCCTGTAGCCACTCCAGCTTCAGCCCTGCTTGCCATCTGCTTGGTCCCTGCAGCACCATGAAGGTCTTCGCAGCTGTCCTGGCCGCTCTCCTCTTCCTGGCCCTCTGCTCCCCAGCTGTGGCCCATCTTGGTAAGTCTGGGTGTCACTGTGACCCCCTGGGAGCCCCATCCCCATAAGGCAGCTTCTGGGGCAGACGGAGAGCCCCGTCCCCCTTCCCATGGATGGGACCCTCGTGGTGGGGTGCGGGTGGTTGCCACCAGTGCTGGGGCTCAGCCTGAGGGATGGCGTCTCCAGGGGTCTGTGCTTGGGGGATGCAACACAAGGGGTGGACGGGTGATGGTAAGTCCTTGGGTGGAGCACTGGCTGTAGAGTGGGGTCTCAATGAACTCTGTTTCTCTGCCCCCACAGATGGCGTCCCCACCACCTGCTGCTTCAGCTACCAGCAGCGCCCTGTCCCGCGTAGCCTCATCGCCTCCGCCTACATCACCAGCAGCAACTGCAGCCAGCCTGGAGTGATGTGAGTACCCTTCATTCCTGGGGTTTGCGGTGCAATGGCCAGGGCAGAGCCCTGTGCATCGCTGGGAGGGGGACAGGGGACGGGCACATGGCTGGGGACATGTGGGGTGCTGCTGGCAGGACCCAGCTCTGGCCCCCTGCTGCCCCCTCCCAGCATCCTAACGCTGGTTTTCTCCCTGCAGCCTGGTCACCAAGAAGGGGAGGGAGATATGCGCGGACCCCCAGGCCCCTTGGGTGAAGGCACACCTGAAGCACTTTGAGAAGAAAAACTGACCCTTCCCTGCTGCTGCTGCCCCCCGGTGGGCTTAGTCCCCCGCACCAACATGCAACGGAGTACTTGAACTGCATCTTTCTTCAACGGAAAATTTATTCTATTTAACTTATTTAAGTTAAATTAATTGAATTTAAATGTATATTTTTTTTTTGCTATAAAAAGGGAAAATACAAAAATAATTTAAAATGTGTCACCATGCCTTTCAAGAATGAGCCTGTATTTCTGATGTCTAATTAAAGTGTTTAGATTATAAAACCCCTTTGTTTGTCTCTGAACTCCCTTCCATGGCGCTTCGCCCTCCCCTGGTTGGGCTCAGTTCCTACAGAGCAACCCCTGCCCTCAGCACATCCCCACCGGGTGCTGTTGGAACTTTGTCTTGGGGTCCTGACCCCAGCTCCTCGATGGGAAACAGCCCCAGCAGTACAGACAGGAGGGTCGGGGCCACTGCGGCTGCTCTGCCCTGCGGTGCTCAGGCACATCAGCAAACCCACCTGTGATGTTTCACCTTTTATTAGGGACATCCTCCAGGGTTGTTGGTCAGTGGCTGGGAGGTGGCCGAGGGGCTTTCTGTGGGCTGGGAGGGCAGCTGGCTGCCGGGGTGACCTTGTAGCATCCCAGCCTCGTGTTCCAGACCTGAACTCCCAGGAGCCGGGGTGCTGCACGTGGGTCCCTGCGCTGGGGCTGTGGGGTCTGGGTTGGCTGCTCCAGGTGACACTGAGGGGGCTGCAAGAGGCAGGGAGATGAGCACAAGCTCCATCCATCACACACCCTTGTGCCCATCTCCTGGTCCCATGGCTGGGATTTCTCTCCAGGGCAGGTGACCATGGTGGCCACGTGTCTATGGGGATGTCCCTCAGCTGCAGCTCTCACCGGTGCACGTGTCGGCGCAGTCGCTGCACTCCCAGGAGCTGATGTCTTCCCCGATGTCAGAGCAGAGCTGATGGGTCCCGCAGGAGCCACAGGAGCTGCAGAGCAGCAACCTCCAGGGCCTGGGGGACCGATGGCACCGATGTCCCATGGTCACCAAGGGTCCCAGGGCTGTGGGGTGCCAGCCCTGGTAGCGTCCGTCCTGCTCCCACCCCAGCAGATGGGGCTGAGCTGCCAGCATGCACCATGTGCCGTGCTGAGCTCAGCACCCTGGGGAACCTCCATCCCAGCCTGAAGGAGGAGACAAAAGTGTTATCTCCTCGCTGCGGGGACGGGGCCTCCACCACTCACCCCGTGTCCTCTGACTGCTCCCGTCCCACCGGGCACAGGCACTGGCTGGCGTCGCAGGATCTATGCCGCTGGTAATGCTCCTCGAAAGCCCCGTCCTCCTCCCAGGCAGCGTCCCTGCGGGAGCCGGGGACAGCTCAGTCCTGGGAGGATGAGGGGGACCCTGGGGAGGCAGGAGGGGACTGGCTTGGGGCTCATTGTGGAGCCAGACAGAGGCAGGGAGAGGGATGCTGACCTGTCGGGGATTTTGATGCCCAGGCGAAACATCTCCTCCTGGAAGGTCTGCATGTCCTGGCACAGCGGGCAGCGGAAATGGTGCAGGGCTGAGCTCAGCGCCTGGCTCTGGGGCAGGGGTGGCATCAGCGGGGTGGGAAGGTCCCAGGTACCCCCCCCCCACAGATTTGGGTGATGCTGGGGGGCGATGCCACCCACCTGGATGCAGCGGCGGTGGAACCAGGCGCTGGTGCAGGCGGGACAGACCAGGGTGTTGTAGCAGGGCCGCCTCGCCACCGCCTCCAGGCAGATGACACACGGGCTGTGGCCCTGCTGCGGTGTTCGCAGTCGCTGTGCCGGCCGGTGCTGCCAGCAAAAGGACCTGGGGGACAGGGCTGGCAGCTCAGCTCCCTGCCCCGTCCCTCCTCCAGCCCCAGAGGGTGCCCGCACTCACTTGAACTCCCCGAAAAACTGAGAGACGCAGCCCTGCTCGATGCCGCAGGGGAAGTGGAAGTTTCGGGGACATCTCCGGACCTGGCAGGTGACCGAGGCGCCCTGCTGCCAGCAGATGCAGCACGTCTGGGGACAGCAGGAGGGTGGCTGCCATCAGCACGGGGCTCCCGGGGTGCTCAGGGAGCCCGTGCCCCGCAGAGCCCGGTGACATTTCGGTGGGCCACCTGGCTGGGGACACCGCACCACTGATAAAACCTTAACCCCATAACCCGTAACCCCTTTGAGCATCCTCAAAATGCTCGGGTTTTGAGGGAAAGACTTTTTTTGGACAAACAAGGCTGTGGTGAGCTGTTTGCAGCCGGCTGCTGGAGCATCCCAACCCAGGGGCACGGGGACCGAGGTGGGGACACGTCCCCCCCCCGCCTCACCTTCTGTGCCACCCGCTGCAGCTCCTGGTGGATGTCGGGGAAGAGGAAGCCGAAGAAACCCTCTCCGTCATCCCCTTGCTGGCTCAGCCCGCTGGCGTGGTACTGCAAGAGGGAGCCGGGGATGTGTGTGGGGTGGGCAGCTGCTGGCACGGGGTCGGGGGCCGGGGGCTGAACCCCCTGGGGGCTCACCAGGCAGTTCTCGTGGATGCAGAGCCCGTCCTGCTGGCACGTCTCCCCAAACACCTCGGGGTCGTCGTCTGCCCGCTGGCACAGCCTGCACACTGCCGTGGGGACGGTGGCATTATCACCCCCAGCACTGTGCCGGGGGGGCCCACGGGGGTGACAGCAGCATATGGGGGAGGGCTGGGGGAGAGGCAAACCCCCTACGGGGATGCTCTGCGCTCACCTTCCTCCTCGGGGACATGCCGCTTCTTTTTTGGGGGGGACGGCACCTGAGGGGACCCTGCCAGCACCCTGAGCGGGGCTGTGGGACTGAGGGGGCCAGCTGGGGGGGGTTGTGGCACCCTGCGGCGCCGGGGTCTCAGCTCCATCACCGCATGGGGCCGAGGGGAGGTTGGTGGGGTCAGGAACCGTCCCCTTCCTTGTCCCCACAGTTTTGGGGACAAGAAGGGGAGCCGAGCTGGTGGCAGCGCCCTGCACTGGGGGGCGGGGGGGTGATGGGTGTGTGACACGGCCCCGCACATTGTGATGGAGCACTGAGGAACCCCAGGGGAGGTGATGTGGTGGTGATGTCAGGATGAGCACAGCCACGACACAGGGGGCTGAGTGTGCTGGGGGGGCCCTAAGGGACAGGGACCCCATGTTGGGATGCCAGCATCACCCCACAGGGCCCGGCTCCCACCCTGGGGGTATAGCAGGGAGATGAGAGCCAAACAAAGGGTTTTGCAGGCCAAGCACTTTATTTAGGCATCAGAGCCCCTGACTCTTGACAAGCATTTTGATGTCTTCTCCGTCATCTTTGTAATTTGACTTTGTTAGCAGTGATTGGGGCAGCAGCAGCAGGGAAGGGTCAGTTTTTCTTCTCAAAGTGCTTCAGGTGTGCCTTCACCCAGGCGGCCTGGGGGTCCGCGCATATCTCCCTCCCCTTTGTGGTGACCAGGCTGCAGGGAGAAAACCAGCGTTAGGATGCTGGGAGGGGGCAGCAGGGGGCCAGAGCTGGGTCCTGCCAGCAGCACCCCGCATGTCCCCAGCCATGTTCCCGTCCCCTGTCCCCCTCCCAGCAATGCACAGGGCTCTGCCCTGGACATTGCACCCCAAACCCCAGGAATGAAGGGTACTCACACCACCCCAGGCTGGCTGCAGCTGGTGCTGGTGATGTAGGCAGAGGCGATGAGGCTACGCGGGACGGGGCGCTGCTGGTAGCTGAAGCAGCAGGTGGTGAGGGCGTTGTCTGTGGGGGCAGAGAAACAGAGCTCAGTGAGACCCCACACTACAGCCAGTGCTCCACCCAAGGACTTACCATCACCCGTCCACCCCTTGTGTTGCATCCCCCAAGCACAGACCCCTGGAGATGCCATCCCTCGGGCTGAGCCCCAGCACTGGTGGCAACCACCCGCACCCCACCACGAGGGTCCCATCCATGGGAAGGGGGACGGGGGTCTCCGTCTGCCCCAGAAGCTGCCTTATGGGGATGGGGCTCCCAGCCCCAGGGGGTCACAGTGACACCCAGACTTACCAAGATGGGCCACAGCTGGGGAGCAGAGAGCCAGGAGGAGGAGAGCGGCCAGGACAGCTGCGAAGACCTTCATGGTGCTGAGCGGATGGCAAGAGGGGCTGGAGGTGGCTGCGGGGCTCTCCTCAGCACAATGCTCAGCCCCTGCTTCTGCCTTTTATCCTATGGCCACTGGGCAAGCGCAGAAAAGGATGCACGCATTGTTCCTAGGAAATTATGTAAGGACACCTGATTTTTGCTGAGAAAGTCTGATTTTTGGAGTAGAAATGCTGATTTTTGGAGAAAGCGAGGAAGCTGCAAAAGGGGAAGCGCCAGCCACAGGAGCACTGCTTTCGGATTCCATTTTGGTGTTCGCTGGGGATGAACTGGGGCCCAAAGCCCTGTGGTGAGAGCCAGGCTGGGACACGGGGCTCTACAGATGGAGCCCTGATGGGATCTGATGGATTAAGGCTGCTCCATCCTCCCTGTGCTCAACCAGCTCTAAAGCGTCCGTGGTTTCCATCACTTGGAGCGTAAGGACTTTGGTGACGGAGTGCCCAGCACCCCACGGTCCCATTTCCTTCGTCCTGGCAGCAGGATGCTAACCGCCCGATGTCCCCGTTGCTGCCTTGGGGTGGCAGAGGGGCTCTGGTGAGAAGGGGAGGATTGTCCCCGCCTGGTGCTGGCGACTGCCAGGCTCCAGAAGGAGCGGGGCCACCCCGGGGTGCCCATCTGCAAGGGCCCAGCTGGGGCTAAGGGACGGTGCCAAGCCCCCAGGCTTTGTCCTTCTGCAGCCACCAGCGTTTAACTCCCGGCTCCCTCCTGAGGAAAGCAACAACCTCCCCCCCAAGTCCTCAAAATCCAACTTTTCTCCTCTGTCTGCCTAAATTCACATCCCACGGGGCATCCTCAGCGTCCTTAAACCCACAATGGGGTAGGGACAGCTCAATGTGGGGGGCTACGGGGCCAGCCTTCACCCCCTTGGTTTCACTGCCCCATGACACCTTCTGGGCAGTTCCTGGTCTCCGTGGGGATGCCAACCCCCTCCCCAAACCCCTCTTTCCTCCAGCAGGATTTAAGTCACTCCAGTTCAGGACAGGGCTCTTTATTAAGGCCACCAAGGGCTGTACACGGGTGTGGAGAGGAAGAGAGGGGGGACGAAGGCAGCAGGAGCTGGGGCCAGCCCCAGGGGTTAACGAGGCACCACGGGCAGGTAGCGGGGAGGCACAAATAAATAGGGTGCATGGTGGTGGTGGCTTCACACCACGGCATTGCTCAGCTTCTGTCTGTTCAGGTACTCCTGGAACCAGGGCTCTTCGGGGTCCACGCAGACCTTCCTCCCCTTCAGCAGCTCCACTCTGGGGGCAGAGGGGTGGTGTTAGATGGGGTGACCCCCCCTTTGACCCCATCACCCCTCTCCCCCCCAAAATGCTGACTTTGGGCATCTTAAATTTCTTATAAACCCTGGCTTCCTTCCCATTTTTATCAGTGAAACAGGGGGTTGGGGTTGCAGGGACATTCGGAAGAAACAGGGAAGGGGGGTGCGCATCTCACACAGCACCCGGGGCGGGGTGTGACTCATTTTGGGGTGTCCCTGATGGCAGGTGAAACCTCAGGGAGGGTGGGCGAGCGAGGGCGAGGAGCGTGGTGGGGAGGAAGGCTGGGGGAGGAAGATTGAAGATTGGGGGAGGAAGATTGGGGGAGGAAGGCCATGGGACCGGGGCACTCACCTCACGCCTCTGCGGGAGCAGTTTGGGAGCGTCTCCTCGTAGCTCCGGATGAGCGAGGCAGGGATTTTCTTCTGGAAGAACATATCCTTGTAGCAGCATTTGGAGCGGGGGCTGCGGACTGAGAGCAGACAGGGCTTGGTGCTGTCCCCAGGGGTGTCACTGCTCCCCAGGCACCTTCCTGCTCCCCCTGCTCCGAGGGTCCCCGGAGTGTCCCCAGCTCTGTGGGTTTGCCCCATTGATGGACCCCCCTGGTTCTGCCCATCAGGAAAGCCCCAGAAACGAGCCCCTACCCCTGGGGCATGCCCAGACCCCTCGGCACCTGCTGAAGCTGTGCCTGAGCCTATTTTGGCTCCATTTAACAGGAATGGGACACCTCCAGCACCCCAACTCCCCAACAGGAGCATCGCCAAAGCTGCGCCCCTGACCCCAAACATCTCCGTGTCGGTACTTACAGGATAAGCCCCAGCTTTCAGTCCAGACAGCAGCGAGCAGCAGGGCGACCAGGGTCAGGGAGAAGAGCTTCATATCCAACCTGGCTTTATCAGCTCCAGCGACCCGTAGCTCTCGCTTGTTTCGGGGCTACGGTGAGCTACCTGCCTCTCCTGCCTGCGCCTTGGCGTTATAAAGCCCCCGGGCAGCATTTCCATGACACCCCCGGACTCTCCCCAGTGGAAGAAGTGCTCGTCGGCGTTCATAAAGGGCAAGTGGTGAATGGAAATTCCTCCCTCTGGCCGGTGCTGCTCCAGCCCCTGCTCACACCCAACCTACGGCCCAGGAGGACGGTTGGAAATTCTGGTGAGGAGCCACAGCTCTGCGCCGCCGGTGATGCGCTGGGGACAGCGATCTATTTTGGGTTCGGCTGCTGCCACTGTGACAAACCACACAGGATGATGCTTGTGCTCAGCAAAGCCCCAGGAGAGCTTCTTTTCAAAAACCATCCTGGCTGTGGTGCTGCTCTTGCAGTTCTTCACGGGGGCGTGTGGCTCCCACCAGCCCACCCGAGACCCCGTGGCTGAGTGTTGGCTGCCCACGGCGGGGGCTGTGCCACCCGTGGTGCCACCCGTGGTGGTGACCCTGCCCATCACATCTCCTCGTGACAGCCCTGGAGTGAGGGCTGGCACCAGGGCCAGGTCCTGCACCCCGAGGGGCAGCTCTGGTTGAATTTTGGCCGGGGTCTCCGTGGGGACAGCTGGTGGATGAGCACAAGAAGCCCCCTCCTTGCAGGTTGGCACCGACCCGGCGCTGTGCCCACTTCTCACCCCTTTTACTGGTGGCTTCCCCAAAGCCCACATGGATACTTCCTGACCCCGTGCACCCCCTGAATCCCTCTTCCCCCTTCTCCCACCCCCAGGACACATCAGGAATGGCCAGGACTTCATCTCTTCCCAGCGCTTTAGCGAGTCCAACGCTCACAGATGTTCTTTTGCACCCAGAGAAAGCCAAGAGGCGGACCTTGCCTGCTCCCCAGACACTTCACAGCCAGATGTTTGTGTGTACAAAGTTCCCTTTAATTCCATCACTGCGCCTTACAAAAAAACAAGGGTGAAGCTATTCCCTCTTAACCCCTATGCTGCAGGAAGCCTGGTGAGCGCTGTGCCACCGACATGCTGGTGCTGCCACCCGCAAAGCAGTTGTCCCCTGCCTGAGACCCCGTCCTGCCTTGGTCCCAGGGTGGGGGACAGTGAAAGATACAGGAGGTACGGAGCTGCCTGCGTGCAGAGCTCCAGGGTTTGGGCGTCCCAGTGGGATGCTGGATCCGGGGATGGAAAAAAAAACAAAGATGTGAGTGCTGGTCAGCCTGGAGCTGGGCATGGGGCCGCGATGGGAAGGACAGCCTCGATGTGCCACATTGCCCCTCGTGTCCCCATGGCCACCTCTGCCACGGGGTCATCCTGGAGGGCCCTGTGGGGTTCCCACGGCCGCGCTAGCTGGGGATGGAGAAGGAGCTGACTGGGAAGCTCTGCTGGTACCTCTTCACCCAGGCCCTGCCCGCCTGGGCGCAGATCTCCTTGCCGCTCTTCACCTTGAAGCTGGGCAGAGAGAAGCAAAAGGCTTAGAGGGGATGCACTACGGGGCTGCAGGGCTCAGTTTTGGGGGAGCTCGGAGATGCCTCATGCCCCATCCCACCCCTGGGCAGCGCAGGAGCAGGTCTGGCCACTGAAAAGAAAGAAGCAGCAACGCCTGCCTCCCTTGGTGCCGCCCGAGGGGCAGGGGGTACTCACATCACCGCCTGGTGCGGGCACTCGGGGCTGGTGGCGTAGCAGGAGACGACGTTGTCCCTCTTGATTCGTCTCGTCTGGAAGTTGAAGCAGCACTTGTCGGGCACGGCCGGGGCTCCTGGGGGGGACAGCGAGAGCTCAGCTCAGCCTGGAGGCCCCCAGCTCCAGTTTGCATGAAGCAAACCCACCCCCATGCACCCCCTCCTTCTTTTCTGGGGTCCCCGTGCTGTCCCCGTCCCCAGTCCCCTGGGTGGGCATGCTCACTCTGGGCCAGGTTCTCGTAGCAAAGCGTGATGAGGAGGAGGAGGACGCAGAAGGCCCCGGCTGCCTTGGCCATCCTGGGCTGCAGGAGGGCTGCGGGCTGCTCCGTGCTCCCTCCTGCTTGGGACGGGGCTGCTTTTATGGGGCTGCTTCCAGTGGGGCCAGTAGTTGCGTAGACAGGGGGAGGACCTGGTTCCTGGCCATGTCCCAAAGCACAGAGGGTGGGCGATTCCCTTCCTCTCCCAAGGAGGAAAAACTTCTCACAGAACCCAATGGGGTTGGGATTTTCCAAACTCCTGCCTCTGGCATTGGGGCTAATGGGTGGGTTGCTCCCCGAGTTTGGCTCCACACCCCAATTCCCAGGCGGGTTGCAGGGCACATAGGGCAGGACGGCGTCTAGGAGCCCAGCAGGGTGCTGGCAGCCGGACCCGCTCCCCGTGGACACCACATCTGGGAGCAGCAGCCCCGTGTCCATGGGAGTAGAGCAGATGTCTGTGTCCCATCGCCGTGCCTCCCAGCATGGGGGCCGATGGCCAACCCCGGTGCCAGAATCCCAGAAAGCCATAGGGAAACAGCCTCTGTCCAGCTGCAGAAGGAATATACGTGGCTCCTGCTGTTGTTTTTTTTTTTGGGAGAGGGGACGGGCTGTGACATTCTTGGCTGTGACAAGCTGGGAAACAGCAGAGGCCAGACTGGGACCTCCCCGGGGGGTTTTGCCCGCCCCAGCTGTCTGAACCCCCCCTCTCCCAGCCTAGACAAATCCCAGAGCTCCTCTTCCAGCTGCTGACAGCTGGTGGGCTGCAACCCACCTCCGCACATCCCCGTGGCTTGGGACACCTGCAAGGGGCTGAAGGCTTTGGGGGGGGGGGGTCCAGGCTGCCCCCATCCCCAGGGGAACCGGGCCCCTCCATGGCAGGACCACACCACCCCCCTGCCTCCCCTGCTGGCTCTTCTCCAGAGCTGTTTCCCAAAGGACCAGCCTTGAGTTTTTGGCTCCCAGGCTCCCTTGATGGGGCACATGCATTTGGGGTGCGGCGAGGGGGCTGTGAGGCGCCCCAGTGTGCAAATAAGGGGGAGTTTAATGTCTCCGTGCCTGCCAGCAGCCCCTTCCCATCACCAGTTTAATTTCCTCCAGCTTGAGCTGACTCCCCGGGAGTGGAGGAAAAGGGACACCTGGCTCCACTTTCCCTTCCCAGCTCCATCCTTTCCCCTCTCTTATCCCCATGCCCTGAGGTCTCCTGGCCCTGCTGCCCCTACAAGGATGGGCTGAAACCCCGCTGAGCCTGGCTCCTTCCCCGGTGAGAGCACGGCGTGGCTCTGAAATCACGACCTGCTCTCGGCAGCGTGGCTCGTGCTGGATGTGGCCACGGGAAGTCCGGGCTGGATCCTCGCAAGCACCAGCTGCTTCCACACAGGGAATGTTCAGCTCCCAGATTACGGTGATTTCCCGGCAATGAGAACAAGAAACAGAAATGCAAGGAAAACAATGAGGTTTTGTTGTAATGGGAAAAAACCCTGTTCAGGACTCCCATGCATCGGGCCGGGGAAGTCCGAGGATGATGCTCCCAGCACCTGAGGCCGCCTCCGCCCTGAGCCCCGAGAGCTGGCAGCGGGGTGGGTGATTTTAGAGCCAGGTGAATTTTCAGCCCCCATCGGGCCCTGAGGATGGGAACACCCCACGCACTAGGTGACTCCGTGCAATTAATCCCCAGGAATGTCACCATTTCTCATCTGTCTCTGTTTTATCCGGCCTTCCCGGTGCCTCCGGGGTCGCTTGGCCTCGGGATGGAGGCAGACCTCCAGCCTCCGCCACGTGGAGGAGGGATGTGGGCACCACAGAGCGGGTCCAGCAGCCTCTCCTTCCCTCCTGAGTGGGGCTTTTGTCCCTCTCCTTCACTGGGAGATCCTATGGGATGCAGAGGAAGGTGGATTTGGGGACTGGCAGAGAGGTTTGGGTGCTCTGATGGTGCCGAGCTCCCGCTGCTATCCCTCTGCCGGATCACAGGACGATGCCTCAGCCCCACGCTGAGCAGAATTCATCCTTTAGAGATGCAGAGCAGTGACAGCTGCCTTTTCAGCTGTGTTTGCACGGGTGTTATTGATGCCACGGCGCGCTCCTCGTCCCAGCTGATGGATAAACCCGGGGGACGAAGATCTAAGCGCAGCGCCTGCGGGACGGGATGGGACGGCTGCTGCTGCTGGGGCAGCCAAAATAATGAGTGTAATCAAAGCAGCTTCACCTGGTCAGGGCTGCTTTCTGTAAAGCTGGAAGGATTTGTTTGGTTTACTCCTCTCCCTTTTAACTCTCTTGCCGTGGTTGGAACAGATCAGCGTTTCCATTACCTTGCCGGGGCTGATGGCGAGATAAGCACTTAATGCACACCCCACTCGTGAGATTTCTTTTCTAAAGGCTGACATGGTCCCTGCTGTCCCTGGCCACCCTCGGGACTTCCCCAGCCACTGGGGGAGATGGTTTCTGCTGAGCTTGGCAGGAGACCCATCCACCTTCCCCCGGTGGCTTTTAGTCACCCCTCACCAAAACCTACACCCCTGCGGAGAGCGCAGCTGGAAACCTGGAGAGGTGCCATCCTCTCCCCCAAAAAGTGGTGGAGGGTTTTTTGGTCTGAGGCTGGAAAACCCCATGGAAGCTCACTCCAAAACCTGGAGCCGGGCACCGGGAGCTGCCCCGAGGCTGCGGGGATGGGCTCATCCCCTGCTCCCAAATGCTGCTGGGAGGTGGAAGCGTAAAGACATGGGACGGAGCAGATGGCTTCATCCTTGCTGGGGGGAGAGTTCATTCACTGAGTCATGGCCAAGTCCTGACTTCACAAGCATCCCTCAGGGGTGAAAGCACCTCCCAGCTGAGGAAACTGAAAACTGAGCAAAGCCAAGGGAGCTGGGATGAATTCCTGTAAATCCATGGTATTCTGAGCACACGTCTTCATTTTGGGATCAACGGCTGGTGTCTGGATGAGGACATTCCCCCTTCCCAGGGCTGGACTGGGGGTGTGGGTCCTCCTCATCCCACAGTGGGGAAAACAGCCACAAAGGGAGAGGTTTTCCACTCAAAGCAGCAGCTGGATGGCCTCGGGGGCTGCAGTGAGTTGCAGGCTTGGGGACCCCAAAGGTGTTCCCAAAGCCCCTAAAATAAAGGCAAAAACCTTTTGTCTAGGATGATGGCTTCTCTCTGGACAGCCTGGGGAAGGGGCTTTGCTGCTTCCCCTCTTGGGATGCTCTTCCCCCAGATCTCCTCTCCCCGAACTGTCCCTGGCTGAAGCCCCTGCTCGCCCTGGGCACTCCCACGGGTGTGTGACTCATTTCCGTGTCCTTTGGT